CCGCAAGTGCGTGCACCTGAGCCGGACGCCCTGCGCCACCGGCAGCACTGCGGTCCCCCCGATGCCTGTGACTGTCAGCCCATCCCACTGGCTGGGCTCTAGGCCCAGGCGGTCCGCCAGGCTGCTGCTGACCATGCAGAGCGCCCCATTGCCTGCAGGAGGGAGAAGGCATTGAAGCAAGAAGGCCACAAGTGAGGACGAGCTCGCGCCCGGCCCCCGATGGTTTCCAGGGACGCACTGGTGCGCCCGGCGCCAGGGCGTGCCGCGCGTGAGGCCGCAAGGAGCGCGCGGCGTGGGGGGATTTTGGTGATATAGCTTTCATCAGCGCGCCTGTGTCGAGGAGGGCGACGGCCCAAATGCCCTGTGAGCCGTGCTGGAGGAACACTTGCTCGGTGCAGTACAGGATTGGGTGCGCCCGTCCCAGCTTCGCCTCCAGCCGTGGGTCATACGCCTGCAGTCGAGGGTTCCATACCAAGGAACAAAGTGGTGGGGACGCCATCGGTCAAGAGGCGGGAGCCGCTGCTTGCACGCTGCGGGCTCCCGCCCAAGAGCGCAGCTCAGAGGACGGCGCGAGCGGGGGGTCGCCCAGCCTGGTAGGTGGCTGGATGAAAGAGGATGGAGACTCCCATTTGACTGCAGCTGGGCGTGTGCGGGGCGCGGGCCAGGGGCACACCTTCGAGGTAGCAATCTGGAATATCTTGGGGGCGCGCTCCCAGATGGCGCCGGGGGTCGTCGCGGAGACGTAGGCGTCCGCCCTCTTGACGCGCTGCGGCCGCCGCAGCCAGTCCATGCCGGCAGTCCATGCAAGCAGTCCATGCGGGGTTAGAAAGCGGCGGCTCCAGCGCAGCGCCGGCACCGCTTTGGGGTGATGCGGCGCGGCTTCTCAAATGCGTGGCGGTTGACGGGCAAGCAACGGATGGTGACTCACCGCAGTCCAGGCGGGCGGGACGACATAGCCGAGCAGCGCCCGCACAGGTGCCTTGGCCCTCGCCGCGATGCCGGCGACGCCGTCCGCACGCCGCTCGCGCTCCGCCTGCACCCCTTCCTGAAAGCCCATCTGGTTTGCATATGTGAACACGCCTAGGAAGCCAAATGCGTAGGCGCCGCTCGCCCAGCGCACAGCTGCGGTTGGAAGCATGTGCGCAGCGCGAGCGGGCGCCGCTGGGCCGTTCCTTCCTGAGCGGCACAGCCCTTTACAAATTGGATCTCGTATGTGCTGTACTGCAACAGAGAGGAGTGACAGAAGCGGTTTGTGCGGCCACAATACACAGCTACAAATCGAGATTGTACTTGAATCGATTCTAAGTCAATTACTATTGTACCATACGTGGCACCCTAAAAGCAACGTGTGTCACCCACCAGATCAGAGTACTCAAGTCTTGTTCTTACTAGCACCTGAGGCCACGCATGACTTGCAGGCAGCACTCAGGAGCTTGAGGGGGCTGTGTATATCTGGTTGTAGGCGTTTCAATGTTTGGCGGTGGCGGCAGGGGTGAGGCGCTCGTCAGCGTTGCGGTGTGCTCTGCTGCTGCTGCTGCTTTGGTGTGTCGCCTGATCGCCAGCCCTTATGTGGGGACCGCAGTGCGCCCGACCCAGTCGCTTGAACCGTCAAAGTCGCCCTCCCTGCCTCCTGCAGTGACCATATAGCATGCAGGAGGCCATTGCTCTGCGAAGCCAGCCTCTCAGCCAAAACACCGCCCTGCATGCACCCCACCCACCGTGCAGGGGGCGGCAGGAAGCGCCACAGACAGGGGCAGGGCGACGGCGGCGCCCCACCCGGCGGCGGGCGCGGCTACCACAATGCAGCGGCCGGCGGCGGCCCTGGCCGTGGCTTTGCGGGCCCCGGCGGCCCGCCGGGGCCGCCGCAGATGGGGCCGGGCGGTCCCGCTGGGATGAGGCCGCCGGGCGGCCCATTCGGCATGGGGCCGCCCAGCGGGCCGCACGGCATGGGGCCACATGGCATGGGGCCGCATGGCATGGCGCCGCACGGCATGGCGCCGCATGGCATGGGGCCGCCCGGCGGGCAGCACAACATGCGGCTGCCCGACGGGCCAGGGTTCATCATGCCAGGGCCGCCGCAGGGCGCGGTGGGCCCCCCAGGAGGCCCCGGTGCAATGCCAGGAGGAGGTGCGCTTTTTGGGGCTTGGGGTGGCCCAAGCGACGCATGCGCCCTGCCGTGGCTGCATGCGCTTGGTTCGGTCAACTTCGGTCAACGCATGCGGCGCGCCAGTTTCATGGGGCTACGGCACCCGCAGCACGAACCTCGTGCAGCATCGCGAGCCTGCCTTTGCAGTGGACCTCACCAGGACTGATGATGCTCCCACCCTCGATTGCTCTTAATCACCCCCGCCTTCCCAGGCCCGATCCTGCTGCTGCCGCCGGGCCCCATGCCTTTCCCAGGCGGCATGCACTGCGCCCCGCCGGGCCACGGGCTCCCTGGGCCCCCGCAGCCCGCGCCCCTGATGCAGCACGGCCCCCCGCCGCCGCACGGGCCGCAGCCGCCGCCAGGGGCGCCGCAGCCCAGGCCGCCGCCGCAGCAGCAGCAGCAGCAGCGCAGCGGGGGCGGCGGCGGCGGCGCGCGGCAGCAGCAGCCGCCCGTGGCGGTGCAGCAGGACTTCTGTGCCCACTTTGTCAAGACCCGCAAGCGGCCCCAGAACTTCTTGCGGGGTGCGCACGCGCGGCTCATGGCTCACACTACCCTTTCACTCATTGATTGAGTACTAGAATGGTCACCTCCAAGCCTGGCAGGATAGCTTGGGATGGCGCCAGCTTTCATGCTGGCGTTGGCTGGTTCTTGCGAGCAATGGCCACGCGTTGTCACCCCCTAGCTCAAATCCGGCCCCCCATCCCATCGGCCGTCACGCCCCGCCGACGGGCCCCTCTCCCCGCCCTGTGCGCCCCTCGCATGACAAATGAGCCCCGCTCGATGTCCATCTCACCACCCCCCCACCCCACAAAGCCCTCCGTGTTTCAACCCTCCTGGCAGCTGTCCACCTGCCATCACCCGGCGCCCGATCTCGCCCTTCGCCCCCGCGCCCTCTTCCCCCCAAGACCACCTGGTCCAGGACAAATATGATGGGCAGCCGCAGCTGGAGAAGCTGGTGGTGGCGAAGGACGCGCAGGTGCGGCCCGATGGGCTGGGGCTGTGTGGCTGCGGGTTCAAAGTGGCTGTGTGTGCACATTGCATGTGTGTGTTGGTGTGTATGCGTGCATGGGTGAAAGAGAGAGTGTTGTGTGTGTGTGTGTGTGTGTGTGTGTGTGTGTGTGTGTGCGCGCGCGCGCGTGTGTGCGTGCGTGTGCGTGCACGCAGGTGCGTGTGCGGCCGTGTCTGTGTGTGTATCCACCTTGCGCCCGGGTTGGCGCTGATGATGTATTGCGAGCATAATCGGGGGCAGTGAGGGGGAGTGGGTGTTCGTACTACGCGGGTGGTGCGTTAGCGGCGTGCGGCGCAAGATCAGGGCGGCGGGGCGCCACGCCCCTCAGCCCGTGTGCATGCAGGCCTCGAACCCATCCACAGTTCGCCGTCGCGGCCCGGCCCCACCGCCGTCGCCCTCCCCTCAACCCCCCCCCCCCACATGACGCGCTCCCCACACCTCGCACCTGTGCGCACGTGCCGATGATGAGCACGCCTGCTCATTAAGCGCAGCGGGGCTCACTGACAGGTGACCCGCGATCCACGTCAGACATTGAACCGCCCGTCGCCCCCCCCCCC